CACTTCATTCACGCCTTAACTCTTCGCCGTTTATCACACTTAACCTTCCAAGCATTCACGCCTATTTAAGGCCTTATTCAAGTTTGTTTAATGTTATTGAAGTTATTGAAGTTAATTGTTTAATATTATACTTGTATTATATGTATTATATTTATAGTTGGTAAATTCAATATGTTTATGGTTCACCGTACCATATACAATGGGTACAGCGTACCGCGTACCGAAATCACGTACCGAAGAAGCCTACCCCCCTACGTATCGGATTTCTAATTTTGGCGATCCGCGTTCCCGTTTTCGTACCGCGTACCGAAGCGTACCGCGATCCATGTGACTATGACTAAAACACACATGCTGAAACATACACGTTTAAGTTGTTTAGACATGCTGGAGGTTGTTTATACATGTTTAAGTTGTTTATACATGTTTACACATGTACTTTACACTTTACACGTACATACACAAAAAGAAGTAGCTGCTGAAAAATGAAAAAATAAATAAAATGGAAGATGAAGGAGAAGAAAACTTACTTTGATCGGTGAGTGCTGGGATGCTACAAGCTGCTGTTGATGTGGCTGGAAGTTGCGGTTGATGTGGAGGGAAAGGAGGATGTAGCGAGCAGGTACGGTAGAGCAGAGCAGGAGCGGAGCAGGAGGATGTTTACGCTATGTGTTTACCGTAGGTTATTAAGTTGTTTTGACCTTATTTACTTGGGCTTTGTTAAAAACGTGGGCTTCTTAATGGTCTTGTTTGACCCCACAAGTGAAAATAACTCAGTAAAACCAGAAATAAAATATCCCCTGTTGGGCGCCTTATGCGATCGCTTAATATCGCTTCTGCGCTTCTTGCGCCTTACGTGCGCCTGACAAGGGATGCTGCGACTTGCCATGTTTAGGGCACCGGTGATCCCTAGCACTGAGCCTGGTGCGCTTAAGCGCTCAGGCGCACGACTTTGACAACCTTGTGTATAAAAGTCTAAATGATACATGCATTAGACAAATCGAAAGATGAGAGAAGAGGCATAGAAAAGAGGGATATGGCAACACAAATAGAAGCAGATGTAGAGCTAGTGGATATGATTTATGAATGATAAGATATGTCTTGGATTAAGTTATTACCCTAAATAGGACTAAAACATTAAAAAAGTTCCCAAATAGGAGTTATCTTTAATTTATTCCCCAAATAGGACTAATTTAGTTAATCTTCCTAATCTACCCATCTGGCATCTCGCCTCATACGTACGGACGTATCTCTTTCCCCCTTTCCCCCAAACTTTCTCTTTCCCTCATCTCCAGATTATTTTTTCCCCATCTTCCATCCTCAAATCCAAATCTCTCTTCTCTCTCATCTATCATCCCAAAATTAAAATCTGAGACATCCATTTTATTCAATTCTCTTGTATAATAGTTTTAATTTTATTCAACCGATCTGGATTTCTTTCATCTCCGGCGATTTTAAGAGATATGGATGTTGAAGCCTTTCTCCATTTCCGGCCACCGATTAGCGGCGCACGACGGTGAGCTGTGAACAACCACAAGTAAACGGCATCCAGATACGGTTGGATCTTCTTCTTCTCCTCCTCCTCCTCCTTCATCTTCTTCTTTGATTTCATATATCAATGCATGTTAACTTACCCCATATTTTTTGAGACTAAAACTTGAACATTGTTATTGATAGAGGTAATAATATAAAAGTACTTTAGCTAAATGAACAAAACAAAACACGAACAACCGCGGGCTGGAGCGGCAGGTCAGAACCACACCCAGAACCAGTCACGGATCTATGGGTAGGGGATACAGAACCAGCCGCTTCAAGATCAGATCAAGACTGGAACCAGCCCCTCTGAACCACAATTCATTTGAGTGGTTTCTATCTCAATGAGAGTATAATGGGACTATATTGCCATAATAATTTCAATAGTCACAATTACAAGATGAATATCATTAAAATCAACACAAAATATAGATCAGCAGCTGCCGGCAAGAACAATAATATGATACTCAGACCAAATAAAATAATCTATTGGCTTGCAGGAGTAAGGATGTTTTTACTCGGACTGTAATTTGCTGGTCTGGTCTGTACTGGTCTGGTCTGTACTGGTCTGGTCTGGTTTCTTTGTATTTTTATAACTATCCAAGTCTGGTCCGAACTGGTCTGGTCTGGTCTGGGACGAATTACAGTCCAAGTAAAAACATCCTAAACACAACTTTCGGATGTAGGACTGACTAACTTGATAGTAACAGTCACTGTTCGGCATTTTGAAAATAATGTTATCCTGTGCCTTGAACACACACAACCATCCGATTTCACGCTGAATTGTCTTCAGACTTCAATTGGCGGTGATGTGGTAGTCTAGGGCAGGAAAAAATGTGGGATACAAATGACTGAATGAGTAAATAATGACTTGCTTTGGCAAAGCAGACAGCAAAATCCATTTGAAATAGGACCATCAGAAGCTATACACAATCATCATTCTCATCACTAAATTATAGTACAAAGATGGGGCAATAGTCTCCCAAAGTTTCTGGTCAACCGAGAATGCTTGTTCGGAGGCAATTGAAAATCTGAAAAATGCCAAATACTGCAACCAATGCATATGATGCCACCCAAACTCCAGCCGCAAATATCAAACTCAGTACGTCAGGGTTTCCCATATATATATTTACGAAGTATAATTTTCACTGCCAAACAATCATCTCAATACGAACCACTTGAGCTTGTTGAGCCTGCCCACTAAAACACACTAATGAGCACAAAATGGAGAAAACTAGAGAGTAACAAGATGAGGAAAGTAAAGTAATGGAATTGATACCACACAATTTAGTTTTTAACTTTATCGTAACAATAATATGACTTATATCAGATGTTTACCATCTAATTTAATAAGGAGTACACAAAAACAAAAGTGTGAGGTAAACATTATGACCAATTTAAGTTGACTTATGCAAAATCTAATACAGTATCAACATCTTATATGTAGTTTGTTTTTTGGGATCAATGACAATGGTCAGCCTCTTTGGATCAGTCTAGCGCACATGTGCAATCCCATGTTTTCCCGCACTGGATGTGTTTTTTCAGTCTTGTACATGTGGGTGTGTGTTTTGGGTGGACTGAAAAAACAATTCATTCATGCATCTTTCATAGTATAAATTGTACTTATATAAAACTTAAAAAGATCGGGAGCCTTGGGGCATCTTTTACAATATTGCTGGGTTGACTTATATGAGAATTTGGGATTGGCCTGTTATCAAAATGACAAGGGAAGGCTTTCCCGCTATACACTCTTGTGTTGTGACCCTTCCCTGGACCATCTCCTTGCGGGGAAACCAATTTGCTCTGGGCTGCCTTTTATATACAAACTTAAAAAATCTTTAAACTTCGAATGCATCAGGACTGTGATTGACCCCCATATCTATGCATATGCGTTTTAAATGTAAACCGCCTCTTTTCAGGATCCTTTTAAGACCCTTTAGTAGTATGTACCAACAAATCAGTTTTTATAACATGCTCTCCCTATTCCAAATTTGCTCTTCATTTGACTTGAAAACTTGTCAAAAAACTGAACTGTACCGTCATAATTTGGAGAGTAAAAATGAAACACACAATTCTGTCGTTAAGGGCTTGTTAAACCATACATTCTTTGCTATTGGAGGCAAGGAAGAATTGATTTTTGTTTCACGAATTATCAATAATGTATTACTCTTAGATTGAAATAGCCACACATTCAAAAAATGAACACTACACACTTACCCCCCATCATTAACCAATAATTTTATTTTGGCAAGAAGAAAAAAGAAAAACAACTTAAAGCAAAAAATGTACTTGGAGGGGTATAAAGTTTAGCCCCGTCAAAAACTTGGCTTGCAAAGCATCCAAAGCCTTGCTTCCAAACTGACCCTGAGTATATCCTAGTATCCTACAACAATGTAACACTCACAAAACCTTAACTTTTCTCGATTAGAAAACCAGAATTTCTTTATAATTTGCACTGGTCATCTTTGGTCAATATTTCCAGTACAAATTAGATTAAAAATTCTTTCTTTTCCTCATAAAATGCATTCTCATCTATTAAATTTTCCCTTTTCCGAATCGCGCATCCGTTAAGTAGCAGAAACCCATCAAGATCAAATTGTTGAGGCCGAAAGAAGAAGAAGAAAACTTTATAATCAACATATACACATAGAAAGGATTAATAAATTGGAGCGTTTTCCCTTTCTGAATTGGGGAAGAATCATAAGGTCAAACCTTACAGCGGTAGATAGGAGCGTTTTCCCTTTCTGATTCTTGAGGAGATGAGAAGGTGGGAATTTTTGGTGGTTGCTTAAATTCAATCACTGGAAGAGTCTTTTCCGTGCATACTTTTCCCACTTCGGCTTATATTGCTTTTGAGTCGTGAAAAACGTTGAACACACGGGTGGGTTAGGCCCTCACAAATCAAGCGTAATTGGGCTTTTTATTCATCTTAGTTATTGGGTCGCTTGAGCGATCCATTCCATACTTTGGCCCGTTTCTTTTAAAAAATGAGTACAAGAATTCCAAGATGTACCATTTGATTCTGGGTCGGCTAAAATCTCATTCAACAATTTGTGCCATCTCTCTTCACCTACTTTTCCAAGTCCCTGATTCTGGTAAGCAGTCGTCTCCATTGTTTCAACGATGCAAGTTCTTACACGCAAGCGGAATTGCCCAAAAATAATTCAATATATTTCGAATTAAACAAAAGAATAATTTTCATCTCAGTTCTTACGTGTGTAGTTGTTATTTGGGGGTGGGGTGGGGGGTGGGGTTGGATTTCGAACTATTTGAGATGTTTGGGAGTACTTATGTATGCTTTGGTGAATTAAGGCATTGATTTGATTTGTTTTTTTGGAATTTATGATTTGTTAATTTATTAATCCGACCTAACAATTTGTGAAAACTTGCATTTTTGTGCAGTTATTGAGTTATTTAATGACAATGGCGTCTAAGTTTGGACTAAGGTTTTGTGGTATTTGATGTTTCAGATTAAGATGCTCCAATTATATCTCACTATACCCCCCTCGGATGAGAAAGGAGACAATAAGTTAGTTGATCAGACAAAATCTTATTTAAAGGAGCTAGAATCTGTTTTATGGTCTTTGATATCATCTGGGCATCGATCTGAAGCTCGCCTTTGGCTTTGCAACTCACTTAAAGACATAAGTTCTGTGACTCCCCGTCATCACCAAGAACTATTTCTGGCCTTGTTAAGGTCAAAGAAAGTCAAACAGCAGCGTCTGGCGGCACAAATTTTTCAATTAATTTTTGACAAGCATCCACACCTAGCTGGACCAATCATTTCAAAGAAAAGTTACTTGCTAGAAGATTTCTTTAAAGGCAAGTCATTCTACTGAAAATTATTATCTGCTTCTTTATGGATAAAAAGGTTTTAAAATTTATTTAGTAGTTATGTCAGATTTATTGCAACTATAAATTTCAAAATTTTCGTAATTTGTTGTACAATGTACAATTGATAGGAGAAAATAGTCTTGCTTTTGACATTTTATATATTAGATCTGGATGATGATAGAGAAAATCATGACATGTTTTTATGGATGCACGCTTGGTATTGCTATTTGCATTGCTTCACTGTGTGGTTGTGCCTACCCATGTTTTTTTACTCCCGGGGACGTCTAGGGGTGGGGGCCTGGGGCCTGGAGTAATCAGGGTTGAAACTCACTCCATTGAGTTTCGAACTCGAGACCTCCCGTATGGGAGAGTGAGACAGCGACCAGCTGGGCTGGACCGCTTCCTCTGCCTACCCATGTTTTAGTCAGTATGTTCTGTGAACACTTTTACTAAAATAAACACCATGATGTCTATGTGTTGACCTCTTATGTTTTAAGATGAATCGTGCAGGGAACTCAAAGCATATATTGCAGTGGTTCTCTAACTTTGGAGGTTCTGTTGGTATGCACGGTAAGGGAGCTAAGGCACTTTCCCAATTCGCCTTTGTGAATCGTGACATTTGTTGGGAGGAACTTGAGTGGAGGGGCAAACATGGGAAATCACCAGCCATGGTTGCCACAAACCCTCATTACTTTCTTGATCTAGATGTCGAGAGAACTGTAGAGAACTTTGTTGAATACGTACCTGAATTCTGGTCATCTGCTGACTTTTCAGAGTCATTAAAAGATGGTGCAATTTTGTCAATCGATAAGAATTTTTTCATTGAAATGTTTCTTGACCTACTGTACAAAGAAAATATGAAGGATGTTTGGGAAATTATAGATACTTTTCTGAAGGAAGAGTCTTTTTCAACTCTATGTCATCACCTTCTTGTTGCGCTTGAGGAGGAAGAACTATCTGTTTTCTTAGATTTGATCCCCAGATATCTTAACCCATGTGTGGAAACCATGAAGTGTGATAAACCATCTTCTTGGCTTGAGGTGATGCTTGCGAAGTGCCACGACAATAATTCTATCGATCAGCTACTCTTGTTGGATGCCATTACAATTCAAAGCCGTAAACTTTTGTTACTAGTCCGTGAAGAAGCTGGTGAGGAGGAAAAAGAAAAAATAAAAAATATTGCTTCCCAGATTTGTACACTCAAGAATATTGGCTTTGATACAATTCTCAAAGATTGTGCTAAAAGGAAATCTTTAGAGATGCTGAAATTGATGGGTTTGCAGGCTTGGGCTATGCATTATCAACTCTTAGAAGCATTTCAGACCATTGATTCTTGGGAATCCTTGTTTGCTTTTAATAGAATAGGTTTTCAGAAGTGTGGAAAGTACTCATTGTTAAATCATTATGAAATTCTGGGAGAGAGTGAGTCTGATGGAGATTTGAGGTCTTCAAGTAGATCTAAACGAAAGAGGAGTAGAACTTATCACAAGAAGAAAAAGAGTTGGAATTTTGACTCCAAGGAGATGGTAGATTTTGAGGATGGTGTGTTAGATGTTTTGCAAAATAAGGATTGTAATTGGTTGCTTTCGACTGATGGATATTCCTTCACTTGGAGCAGTGTAAGTTGATGGGCTTGTCTTTTTAATTTTCAAGTCTCCATCTCTTTTGGTTGTCTTTGGAACTCAGAATGTGTTTATTGTTCTTTACGTATGATATTGCGTTAGATCCTTGCGCGATACTTGTGGAGTTGCTCACTTTCTTGATCATTGTGATGTTTACAGGCGGACTTACCAGGGCATTTGTCGAATTACTGTTTTTTTACATGGTTGAAATTCATCTTCAGCAAGTGAAGATATTTTTACGCTATGGTTTGCCACAAGAGTGTGTGATTGGCCAATGACTCATCTGATTACCTAAAACCTCTTTCATTCTGGCCACATTGTGATCAAAGGTTTGATGGCATCTAACTATTTGTGCTTATTTTTCTGTTGTTTAAAATCTCTCTCTCTCTCTCCTCTTTCTTTAACGGAAAAAGCTAACTTAGTTGATTGTGCGTTCTGAACCGGTAGGTAGTAAAGAAATGGTGTATTAGTTATTTTTTGCCCCAATGTTTTGAAATGGATGAGAAGTACAACTTTACCTTAATTTTCATGGTGAAATTCATAAGAATAATCCATACTTTTAGGGATTCTACAATAATAGTCCCTACTTAGAGTGTCCCAAAATAATCTGAACTAGCAATGATTTCATAAGAATAAAATGGGATGAATTTAAATTAATGCCCTTTTAATATTCTGAACTCTTAATTCCACTTTTCTCTTCCCCATTCGTCTTCTCGTGACAAGTTCAAACTAAAACTCGTTTAATCTCAACACCATTTCCGTCATATGTGGTTTTCTCTAAATTGAAACATTGTTAGTACGGATTATTTTTATGGACACACTCGGTAGAGATTATTATTGTAGAATCCGTAAAAGTAGGGATTATTCTTGTGAATTTCGCCAATTTTCATTTAACAGTGTTGTTTTCATGATTTTATTTGGAAAATTTACATATAGTTCATGAATTTAATAATTACCTTCATATTATCAGCCGTTTGATCCTTACCAAATGCGTCATAATATCATATCATTGTTAGGGTTGCCATATCACGGATTACCCCATGAGAGAAAGAATGTTTTGTCCACGCAGTGTTGGTGAATGCACATGAATCTGGACTACCAAGTTTTGGTGTAACACAAACTTCAGAGCTCTACTGACATGCTTTGTTTATGTCTTAGTTCTTCCTATTACTGGGATATGGCTTTTGGAATGTCACAGTGACCTGTTTGTGATCTTTCATCTTCACATAATTGAAGTTGGGTGTTATTATGTCGTGTGACAATGGTAGGATATCAGAACCAAATATGCTGCAACAAACCTTGATTTTACAGGTGGTTATTGTATATATAAAGATTACCAAATTATACATATTTTCTAAAATGAGTTGAATAATTATGGTAACTTAGAAGCATTGGTCTGGAAGGGGGGAGGCGGCAGCGCAACCTCCCATTGGTCATCTTCCCAGCCTGTGTTTGCCCCTGTCTGTAGTGCGCCCTAAAACATTAGGGTTTATGTATAGTCAAGAAATATGGAAACTCCCAACTTTATAAATACTTACCGTATACCTAACTATTAAGATGTGATTCAGTAACTTTTGATTATGGTTGTGTTCACATTATTAAGTAGTGGCTAATGCCTAATGGCTATATGTATATTTATGTAGTTAGTATGTGATGTAAACTTCAAACACAATTATAATCAATAAAATTTGTAAACTCATTTTTGTCTATTCAAACTTTCATGTTAGATACGAAAATTTAATCTCTAATAAATATGTTGTACAACTAGGGATGGACTCGGGCCGGGTGGCCCGACCCGGAACCGGCCCGGGACTGGTACTGTTCCGGCCCGGCCCGACCCGGTGGCCCGGTCAGTGACCGGTCCGGGTAGTCCCGGCCTGTGGGTTTTCCGGTCCGGGCTCGGGTCACCCAAAACAAGGCCTGACCCGGCCGGGCCCGTGCCCGGTTCGGGCCAAAAAATATTTTTTTTTCAATTTTTTTTAACTTTTCGGGTTGGGCTGGGTATTTTGGGCCATTTGGGGTGGTTTGGGGGGTTGGGGGTGGGAGGGGGGTTAATTAGGAAGAGGAAAACAAAAAAAAATATGCTGGGCCTGGCCTGGCCCGGCCCGGACCCGGTGGTTACCCGGGCCGGTCCCGGGTCCACCATTTCTGACCCGCCCGGGCCTAGGCTCGGCCCGGACCCGAGTCCAACCCTATGTACAACCACAAACTTTCACTTTTTCATAAAATAAATTGAACAAAAGATGTTAAAAGAATCGAAGCATAAATTTTAAATAAAATTATGTTTGATAATGTTACAATTAGCTTATTTTATGCAAGAATATTGTCATCTTCTGGGTTGAAGTTGGTTAAGATAATGTTACAATTAACTTTCACATTAGCTTACTATATGTGATGATGAAAATTGGTTAAGAAGACTGCAAATGTTGTTTACAAGGAAGTATATAATAATTTTTACTTTTTATCTTCATTTCCTTGTGTTAAAAACAATATATGTGTTGTTCTATCTTTATCACAACATTTATATACTCACTCCGGTCCTTAATTAACTTTACACCTTTCTTTTTGGGTCGTCTCATATTAAACTTTACACTAGGTGTGAGCATAGTTGGTTAACCGGGTTTTGGTTAACCAACTTTTCGGTTAACCGCGAAACTTGTTACTTCGGTTAACCGATACTTCGGTTAACCAAAGCTTCGGTTAACTGAGTATCGGTTAACCAAAACTTCGGTTAACCACAAACCGGTTAACCGAAACCCATAAAACTGGTACCATAACTGAAAATAATTTTTTAAACATCTATGATCATAATACAAAATTCATAAGTAGATCAAGTTTTGAAGAAGATAATAGAAATACAAGAATACACCGGTGTTAACAAATACATGACTGTGTAGACTAGAATTGATATACGAAACAAATTTCCAATATACAACTCTAGGTTTAAATCAAGTCTCACAGTTTATCTCCAAAGCAAAAAAAAGGAGCTCAAGTCTATGCAGTAAAATAAAATGATCATGAAAATTTGATAGTGGCTTTTTGTACATAATCCCTTTGAACCGTTGAAGTAAAATTAGTGATTTCTCTTTAATATTGATTTGAGAGAAAGTATCTTGAACAGTGAATTTGTGTTGCCTCCATTTAAAACTTGATGGGAAATAGCCGGAGAAAACAAATTGTCATCGGCGTTCAAAATCTTTGGGCAGCTCCACAGATATAGAACTAGGAAGAAATAAACATTAAAGATCTTAGATTACTGGATGGATTGACTTCGATAAACTGATTCTAATCAATTTTAAAACGGTTAACCCACTATGAAACCTTTTTTTTATTTAATCGGTTAACCTACCGTGATTTCGTTTTAAAAGCGGTACGGTTAACCAGAAAATTAATGGTTATACGTTTTTTAAAACGGTTACGCGGTTATGGTTTTTTGTGCCCACCCCTACTTTACACTTCCATATTTGCCTTATTTGGCAAACAAATTTACACCAAACAGTGCAAAACAGTGTCAAACAGTGCTAAACAGTGTCAAACAGTGTACTTTACGGTAAAGCCAAGTTTATTTCCTTAATATATGTAAAGTCAAAGTGTAAAGTTTAATAAGGACCAGAGGGAGTATATTTTCAAATAATGTACTACTTCCGTCTCACTAAGATTGAGACAAAAGAAGGTGGCACGATTATTAAGAAAAGTGGGTTTGTGTGGTTGATATTAAATTGATAAAGTAAGAATGATTTCATTATGAGTTTTACAAATTTTAGAATATTTCTTTATGGACAACATTGCTTTTATTTGTTGCTCTTCGATCATCGTCATTCACCAACAAAAATTTCAGCCGTTTTACATTGATAACTCTCGAATTGCAACGTAGAGCCGAGCGTGACAAAACTGTCATCTTTAACAACAATCATAGTATCTCACTTCTCACACTCACGCACGACCAACTATTTTATTCAAATATTAATCACAATTAGTATATTTAAAAGGTGTTTATAAGGACACCTCCATCGGAGAGGTGGATTGCCATAAAAGGTTATCCACCTCATCAAATAGACCTTTATAAGGCTAACCGCAACCCTCTACTAGTCTACTTCAATAAATTAAATCTTTCATCAATTTATACGTATTCACTCAGTCAATTCAAGTTTTTCCAGCAATCCAGTACTGTCAATATATTCACTCAACAAACCCTTTTTAATTAAAGCCTTATCTTTTTGTTATGAATTAATTTTTTTTCCAATTTGTTTGCGCGAATAATTATGATTTGAATAGTCAAACATAATTATGTAAAAATAAATAAATTTGGAGTTTAATTTTTGTTATTTTTATTTGTGACCTATTTTTTATAAAAATAACTCAAAGATGTAAAAGATATTTTTAATCATGAGATCTTAATTTTAGTATTTGGATCTGTTCAGGAAATAATTTGAGTCTAAAAATCTCCAATGGCTGAAAATTCATATATTTTTTAAATCTTTTATATGCAATATTAGTGTCATGTGAAAGATCATAATAGGTTATGACTTTTGATATATTTTTTTTATAAAAATTTGTGTACAAATAAAAAGTTATAATACTTCAAAGAAAAAATATTTAATATTTTTTGGATCCCACATTTACGTCCGTTGTCGCTGCGTGTGTCATTCATGCTTTGCCCAATTTTTACTTTTACTTTTTGGGTGAATAGCTTGTGAGTGGCTATCATTCAAGGGTGCTATTATCCATTATATAACCTTAGTATATGTTTTTTTTCATTAGGGTTGGAGCATGGATGAATAACTCATAATTGACTTTTTCATCCCTTGCATTGTAGTCAACCTTAAAAGATGCACTCTCCAATGCAAAAAGGAATGAATTAGGTCTATTCTAGTTGGCAATGCACATAGTCTATTAGGAGGTCTACTTTGAGACCTTCAGTCTCACCCTTTCCTCACTATCTATATTGATTTTTTGAATAATTAGTATTACTTTAAATTGCTCTCCTTTTCCCATTGGAGTAGGGTATGATGAATACTCTAAAAATAACTGTTGGTAAATGTCCCCCGTCATTTACCCCACTAATTTTGGTGGTTTACCTTCTGGGGTAAAAAAAAAAGACTCCAAAAATAACTTATGATCATAAAATATCAATGTCATACAAGGGTATTATACCGTACACCTGGGTGTATGTGTACACTCGGCTATTTTGTAATTCCTTGCAACTCTAAGGCTTTTTCTCCTGCTCCATATATGTTACACGAACCAGCTGTGCCTGGAAACCTTAGTTGTCCATCCGCCGCCTCAGTCAACGAGCATCAGGGAGTGGGGCCACATGAGAGACGATGAGCGGACAACCTATCAAACCAGCCAGTTCGTTCGCCCACCTGTACCGGAGTCGGCCGGTCTTCCGGCCGTCAACCCGCCCCCCACTTCCGCTTTCAGCAGTAATCCCACCGGAAAAGATCACCCCAACGAGCACCAGTCATCTTCTCCGAGAAGTTCGTTGTGTTTCCTCCATCTCTGGTGTTGCAGAGATTCTATAGGACAACGTTAATGCTCTGTATACACTACATTCCGCTGAGATTGACCTGACAAATCAATCCAAACATAGCTATTTAAAACAGTTAGCTTTTATGAAATAGCTACGAGCTTTTCCATCTGCAAGCTTTTCAACTCAAAAAAGCTTACAATTATTAAAATGTTTAAAAAAATGCCTTTTCAGCTTCTCGAGCCAAACAAAGCCTATATATAAATAGATTACTAGGGTCCATAGTCCTAATTAATTATGGAGTATATGTATATTACTAGCAGTGGCACGCGTGTTGCGCGAGGGTCAATGCCCAATGGTGGTAAACGGACATTAAAAAATGAGGAAAACCATCGAAGAATAAGAGCAAAAAAGCAGCAATTTAACGTTGTCAATGAGCACAAAAACAGCAGTTTAACATTGTCAATCCAGCAAAGCGCATCATTGTTTAATTGAAAAAGCAGCTTAACATGATTGTTTGATATCGAAAAAGGAATAAAGTACAAGGATAATAGTTACGGTGTTGCCATCCAGCTTATTAACTTATTCCTATTTCTGATAAGTTGGAAAGCTAAGTTGCATAATCCCCACATAACCTGAAACATTGGGGTAATGCCAGAGTCAAACCAAGCCAGGCTGGTGCTTGAAATTACCTGGTGGTACTGTGGTAGACAAGAGAAGTTTATTTATATATAAACAAAGAATGAGGAATAGTTTTACAAATGGAGCCAATTATAAAGTCAAAACCCTTCAATGGAATATGATTCTTTTTTGGACAAAAACAACGTTTAAAGCATAATTCTTCACAAGAATTAGGGAATACATATTGTTGAGAAGTCACCTGAAAATTAAAATATAGATAATATACCTCGATATTAAGAGGTACGAAAAGATCGTGAAGCGGCTCTCCAAAGGAACCACCCACCATAGCCAGCAACTCTAACCTGGTGACATTCCAAATTCAGTATAATGTAATATTAAGTCTCAAAAGGTGCTTGTAACAAGAAGTGCATCCAATGTAAAATTTTGTCAATATAGTCAATAGTCTAACCAGTACATTATCCCGTTCGTTTTATAGCAAGAGACCCTAAATGGGAGTTCGTTTAGAACTCCAATGCAAGAGAGTTCTATAGTCAAAAAGCTGCTGCAAGAGAGTGCACATTATGCATTTCAAATAAAAGCAATGCATATCAACACAAT